GGGCTGAGGGCAGCCACGCTGGAGAAGACCTACCACCTTCAGAACCGGCAGTCTCCTCCCACCGCCGCTCCTAGAAGTAACTGGCAGCTCTGGCCTCCTGGGTGACGCTGGGGTGTCCTTGCCAGCTGGTCCTCTGGGCGGGCAGAGGAACCCCAGAGAGGCCAACACACGGAGAGAGATGCTACCTCCTGGCCAGGGGCAGAGGGCAGAGTGAAGCGACAGGCCAGGAGGCTAGGGTGGTTGTTTTAAACTGGCTGTAGCCCTGCAGGGGAGGAACACTTTAGAGCCCCATCAGCAGATCTGGATTATAAATCAGTCCGGACAGAAGCTTTTGTTCTGAGATAAAACTTGGCATCTGAAGAGCATAGACCAGAGTAGTGGAGATAAGTGGGGAGGCAGCCCAGTTTGGACTCAGTAACAACTGGGTCTTTGCTGGTGCACATAAAGGCCCCTTCTCCACGCTGGCCAAAGCCACGTTTCCCAGCTCCTTTCCACCAGAGAAAAGGCTGTGTGGCCTTGGAGATGCTGGAGATAGGGAACAAGCCAGCTCTTAGCATGGGGTGGGTAGTAGGTTCTCTGTCTCCAGACAGGGAGGGAGAGGAAGTGTGTGATCCCAGTAGAGTCTCACCCTTGTCTATTTAACTGGAGGTGACTTGATATGCAGATCCCCTCACCTTTAGATCCCCTCACCTTTGTTCTGTGGTGTAGACTTTTGTTGTTGTTAATCCTCACCCAAAGATATTTTTCCATTCATTTTTAGATAGAGTGGGAGGGAGGGAGGGAGGGAGAGAGAGAAACATTAATGTGAGAAAGACACATCGATTGGTTGCCTCCTGAACAACCCCGACCGGGGCCAGGAATTGAACCTGCAACCCTTTGGTCCGAGGGCCGATGCTCCAACCCCTGAGCCAAACTGGCCAGGGATGTGGTGTAGACTTGGCAACCTGCCTCCACTACATTTTCTTTGGCTCCACCCTCCGGACCACTTTTGTAAAAGTAGGTATTGTTTTTCCCATTTTGTGGATAAAATGAGTCTCAGACCTGCCCAAATCACATAGATATTAACAAGGTCAGAATATTAAAACAGGCCCTGGGACTCCAAATCCCTCTTTCCACTAAGTCACAGTGGATCTTGACAACTTTTAGGTCCCAAAAGCTCCATTTCCTGCGGTTTCCTCACCTTCCAGCCCCTTCCTCACCCCCACCCACTAGGTGTGAGGGTTACCAGGCAGAGACTTGAGCTCCTGGCTCCATCTGCAAGATAGCCCCAGTGGAAAGTTTCAGAAGGTGGTTTGGTTTCACTGGCAACAGTCTTCTGTACCTCAAGGCAGGCTTCTGTGATCTAGTAATAGACTCCAGGGAGCCCTTCTCTTCCAAAGGCTCCCCAAAGATAGGGCTGCAGCTCCGTGCGCCCCTTTTCCACCTGCACCCATTTCCTGCTGGGTTCTGTTCATTTCCAGTACTGCTGGCCTTTTCCGTGGGTGGGTGAGCAGGGGATCAAGTTTCCTGCATGACTACTTGCTCATGATTCATATTTTTTAATATAAGCACAACTGGTAGAAAGTGAGGACTCCCTGGCCTTAATTAATTAAAAAAAAAATTACAACAAAACAAACAAACAAGGCTCCTGTACCTATCAACCCCCTGGGGCCGTCTGGCACATTCTGTGGAAGGTGCCCACCCTCAGCCTCAGGCCCTGACTCGCCTACTTGCCCGACTTACTAAACTGCTATGGCCAAATCAAGGAAAGAGGAGCCTGCCTAGGTTCGCTCAGGTGCGCTGGCAACTGAGGCAGGCCCCAGGCTGGCCAGGAGACGTGCCAGGAGCTGTACCTGAAGAGCAAGGCCCCTCTCCCCACACAGCAGCCCTGTGCCATAGTGGCTGGCCCTCCTTGGAGCTCCTTACCCCTAGCTCTTCTTTATTTTTTTTAATCCTCGCTGGAGGATGTATTTACATTTATCTTCAGACAGAGTGGGAAGGAGAGGGAGAGAAACATCGATGTGAGAGATACATCGACTGCCTGCCACCCTGCACAACCCCAACTGGTGCCAGGGATGAACCGCAAGCAAGGTACGTGCCCTTGGCCGGAATCGAACCCAGGACTCTCTGGTCCGCGGGCCGATGCTCTAACCGCTGAGAAAACTGGACAGGGCTCACCCCTAGCTCCTCTGAGGCAGCTTTCTGACAGGAGAGGCCAGGCTTCTCACTGGGGTTCTCTGGTCAACACTGCAGGGCTACTTCCCAGGGAGCCTGGAGCTGCTGTCAACCCCAAGGGGGATGAAAAAGCCTGGGTCAGCCGCTGAAGGCCTGGGGATTGAGGTCAGTGGGGACATAGGAAAAGGACTTCCTCTCTACTTCCTCCTGAAGGCGAGTTCTCAAAGCCACCCACCTGGGAAGCCTTTCCCTTCCCAGCCCCTCCCTACCGGCATCACCAAAAGGAAGCAGGAAAACATCCGTCACCACAGCCCCGGATGCTGCTTTTCCAGGGGCTTCAGTCAGGATATCCCTCGGCCTTTCCTCAGGGGCTCTATCTGGAGAGGGCACAGGCCACTGTGGGATTCTTGGCCTGGAGCAGGCTGTCTCTAACTGGTCCCAGACTAGTTTTAGAAGATCTGGTCTGCTCCTGGCAAGTTCCAGAGGGCCCATCACATGTCCCAGGGGATGGCGTCCGCCCTTGGGTGACCTCGAACTGCACACCTCTGCTCAGGTTTCAGCTAGGTCTCTGGAGGGACTGAGTCTGAGTCCACCAACACCTCCGCTGCCCTTGGTGTCTGTTTCTCTCCGGGGTGTGTTTGGGGCAGTGCAAAAGCAGCAGGACTGGGGAGCAGGGCTCCAGACATCTCTGCTAAAGGCCTGCTCCATCCTCTCTCAGAGCCACAGGGGCGCAGCTCAGAGACCTGGAAACTCCCCCGTTCAGCCCCTTAGGCCTCCCTACTCCCTCTCTGCCCTTGGCCGTGAAACAAAGAAGGGAAATTACAAAGGTGGTTTCCAGGTTTCCAGAGCAAACTGAATAGCTTCGGATTAACTGCCAGGATGTGCGGTGGGAGACGCGGGCAGCCCGGGGCAGCGTGCAGGAGGCCGCTCTTTTATCGGAGTATCTCAGGCCTACCTAACGCCGGGGGCGCCCCGGCCAAGGGGCCTGCGATGCAGCCAGGAACAGAAACCAGAACTCAGTCAAGCCACCTGGGCATCCAAGTCACCCTGGCAGAGAATTTCTTCCACCTCCATTTGGCAAAGGCTTTGAGGCAGGGAGGTGTCAGGCCTGGTACCCAGCCCTCTGAATTATAGATGCCCCCTGGCTCCTGGCATTCTGGGGTCCCAGCGAGGGAGGCAAAGGTGTCTTTTCATTTTGTTTTGTTAATCCTCACCTGAGGATATTTTTTCTGTTGATTTTTAGAGAGAGTGGAAGGGAGGGAGGGAGGGAGGGGGAAGGGGAGGAAGAGAGAGAAAAAGAAACATCAATGTGAGAGAGACACATTGATCGGTTGCCTCCCACATGCCCAGAACAGGTCCTGCCAGGGATCGAACCTGCAACCCAGGTACGCCCCTTTGACTGGGAATCGAACCTATGACCTTTCAGTGCGTGGGCTGAGGCCCTAACCACTTAGCCACACCATCCAGGGTGCAACTGTATCTTTTTTTTTCTTATTGATCTTAGAGAGAGAGGAAGTGAGAAGGAGAGAGATAGAAACATTGATGAGAGAGATCATTCATTAGCTGCCTCCTACATGCCCCCCACTGGGGATTTGGCCTACAATCTGAGCATGTGCCCTGACTGGGAATCAAACTGGCGACCTCTTGGTGCATGGGTTGACGCTCAACTACGGAGCCACACTGGTTGGGCGCAACTGTATCTCTTAAACAGGCCCAGAAAGTGATGGTGTACACTGTGGGTCTACAAATTGAGCTACTTGCCCTAAAGGTCCTTTATTTTCGGGGAGCCTTTCTCCTAGTTAGCCCACGTTGCCCTGACCTCTGTGGCCTGAAAGAGCAAAGGAGAGGGACACTTCAACAGAAAAAGTCTAAGCACCCACCATGGTGACCTTCCGTTGGCAGACACTAGGGCTGAACTAAGGAGTGGGCACAGGCTAGTTGGGCGGGGGTCATCCTCTGCTACTTCCTATCTACTTCTGTGGCCCCCGCAAAACCCCATCCCAACCTGGAAAGAGTCAGGAGGGGCCAGAGAACTAGAAATGGTTTCTCAGGGTTGGAGGAGTGGACAGAGAAAAAACGGACACCCAGGAGTCTCCTGGGGCTACGGAAGACCCACTCGCTTCTCAAGGGGAGCAGGTCTGAGACCTCCAGCACCCACGCAACTCACCTTGGGTAAGGCTGAGGGAAGCAGAGCAGCACCGGGAACTGTCTATGGCACGGTGCCCCCACCCCTGGGTCTGGAAGGGACTTGGTTCTGAGCTCAACAATAAACTAAACAAAGTGTAATTACAGCTTTAATCACTATCTCACTCTGGGGATCCTCCCCAGGGGGTGGGAGTGGTCCCAGACGGGGTCCAAACATATGTTCCCCATCCAGGCTCCAGGGGTTCCTGGGGCCACAGGACAACTGATCCTCCTTGGAGATTTACCAACCCCTCTGCTGTAGGTTAGTAGGGCCCAAGCCCCAGTCACATGACTGTCCGAGGTAAGTTTTCAGCCAGCTGGATGCCGGGCACGAGACCTCAGGACAGGGACTGCAGGAAATGATCTGAACCACTAGGATGAAATCAGACTTTACTGTGCACAAGGAAACCTCACATTGGTGACCGAGGGAGGAAGGAGGCTGGGAGGCTGGGCCCTGGAAGGCCTCAGGGGGTGAAGAGGGCATGCTGGGCAGGGAAAGAGAGGCAAGACCCTGTCCACTGGGTTGGGGCAGTGTGGAGGCAGGCTCCCGCTTCATCAGACCGGTCCTCCTCTGGTCTCCATTCTTTGCTTCCTCCAGGTCCAGGGGTCCTCCTCATTCCCTGCCAGAGCCGAGAGCCCTGGACCACCCCTGCTCTGCTCCTTTAGATCTCTTCCCAGGGGCTGAAGTACTGCGCCTGTGGCGAGGTGAAGAACAGGATGTGGTAGCCCTGGGCCCTGATGCTCCCTGATTCCCCAATGTCCATCCAACATCCACGACAGCCCTCCCCTGTGCCCGGTGCTGAGTGACAGGCTCCTGAGGCTTGGCCTGGCAAGGACGGCAGGGCAGCAGGCCACTGACCACATCTCTGCCTGGGTCCCTCCACTCACTGCTCGCAGTCCCAGGACAGTGTCAAAGAAAGGTGGGGCCTGCCTCCTGGCTTGGCCAGGCCACGGATCCCTGTCCTTCTTTTCATGACAAACACGGTTTCCCACCAAAAGACTTGGATGATCTAGTTCCCTGGGGACTGAGGGTGAGGTTTACTCTCCAGCTTTCTCAGGGACTTGCAAAATCTGAGACCCAAGCCACAGCCTGTGGCGACGTGTCCCCCCCCTGCCCCAAGTCAGAGGTCACAGGGGAAGGACGAGCCCAAAGAAGGCAGAGGAAAGGCAAGTGGGAGCCAGGGCTGGGGGCCCACAGGGAAGTGCCCTGAGCCAGCCGGTGCTGCTGGTTGGTTGGAGGTGGCGGCCAGAGGGAGGAGGCCAGGGCAGGCTGGACCGTGCCAAGCCTGCAGGCGTGGGGGCCAGGCCGGCCCTGCTTGTGGTTCTGACGTTCGCACATTGCCTGCCTGCGTGACGGGCAAGCTATTTAACCTCTCAGTGACTCGGGTCAGCTTGCTCTTCTGTAAAATGGGGTCATAATCATACCTGCCTCAGGGGAAGTATGTAGATTCATGTAGAAAAGGGCCTCATTCAGTAAATATTAGCTATGAATATTGTCACCTAGAGTCTGAGAAAATGAGGGTGTGGAGGTTGATGCTACTGAGGGACCAGGGCGGCCGGGGAGTATCCCTCTTAGCAGAGAAGGAGGCCAGCTTCAGGCCTGCAGGACACGCAGGCGGAGGGCAGACATCTCGTGCCTGTTGCCCTTTCCGGGCACTGCCCACGATAAACGGGCCCTCCCAGTGGACCCTCTTCAGGGCAGTTTCTCTTTGGCTCTGCTCAGGAGGAGAGTCTTCTCTGTGTCCCACACCACAGACCCACACTGGTATCTGACTCGGCAAGAATGCTGGAGGTCCTCCGGCGTCTCCCTCCCCCCACAGCCCTCTCGCCCCTTTCCCAGCCAGAAGCGCAGCAGCTGCAGTGGGGGTGGACACGCTCTGGTCAGCTGCCTGACCACTTCCCTCCCCTCCCAGGTCCGGGGGCTCGAGGGGCAGCACCTGGGGCTGCCAGTGGGACAGCAGCTCCTGCCAGCGGATGTAGGTCTGGGCAGCCAGGTCCTTGAGTCTGGTCCGGTGCATGGCCTCGGGGCTCTCCCGGATATGGGTGCTGATGTGGCGGTCCAGCTGCATACACAGCAGCCGCAGCTCCCCCTGCAGAGGCAGCCGTGAGGGCCCGCACGCCCAGCACAGCCACAGTGCGGGGCGGAGGAGGAGCGAAATCAGAGGAGGGGGACACATGCGGGTGACTGCCCAGGTGGACAGAGCAGTGCTAGGGCACATGCCAGGAACCCCCAGAAGGCGCCGAGGGACCCCAGGAGAAGGCGGAGGCCTGCTGCCCCACCCCACTCTGCTGCTGCTTTCTCAGCCCCTTTGCAGTGGCGGACAACAGCCCGGCTCCACCCCAGTCGACTGTGGCCCAGCCTCTTGGGAGACTCACCCACTGGTCTGGAGTAATGTCTTGGCAGCTGACCACCACGCCAGCAAGTGTCAGGAGGCTGTGACACAGGTAGCAGACCTGGAGAGAGAGCACAGGAGAGAGGTGTCTGAAGCCCCTCACCCCAGTCCTGGTTCCCAGGCCCTGCAGGGTGAGGGCTGGGCTTCCAGCCAGTTTCCTGGGAGGCTCTTCAAGTAGGGCTCGGGCCCCACCCGCTCGGAGCTCTCCTTCTGGTGAATGACCTTACTCTCTTCCTTCAGAAAAAGAAGAAACCCTCCCACCCAGAACCCCACACTGCACCAGCCCTGTCCTGGGGTGCTCACTGTTAGGCACAGGGCGTCTCCACGCTGACCTCTGCTCTGCTCCATGAGCACCCCTCTATCTGTGGGCACTGTGACCGGGTGCCATTCTCTCTGGGGGAACGTGGCCCGTGGGTGCCCAGCTCACCCCTTGTGGAACACCACCTGCACAGGGACAGGGACGTGCAGCCCTGTCCAGACAGGCAACCATGTCGACAGGAGGAGGCAGGCGAAGGGAGGGAGGCAGGGGTGGTTTGGTTGAGCATTTGCATGTCTTACCCACCAACTCGTACCCTTTCTCTCGCACACTGGACACTTGAGGGGTAAAAAGAGGACAAAGCTGATCTATCTGATCAGAGAATGGTTTTGATACAATCCAGGTGCCCTCGGACTCTGTTGGTGCTCATTCCTTTAGGGAACATTCACCTGCTGTGCAGAGACAATGAGGTACGGGGAGAGCCCCAAAGACAGGGAGGCCTGGTGTGAAGACAGTCTGCCCCGGCACTGTCTGTGGCACCCCCCACCTCGACTCCTCTGTCTGAGATGGGGAGGGTGGCAGGAAATGCCCCACAGACCCACCACTGTGTACCTGGCGGATAACCAGCCCTGAGAGGTGGGCTCCAAAGGGACTGGAAGTCAGAAGGAGCCCAGGCTCCCCTGTTCCGCCACTTTCCCTGCCTTTGTCACCCTCCCTTTTAAGAGCACCAGGTGGTACCCCAGAAATGGGGCAGCCTCTCTGCCCAGACCCAGAAGCCTCCTGAGGGTAGAAGCTAGAACCACTTTTGAGGGCACCAGACTGGGCACGATGGGGTAGCCTTCCTGAGCTCAATGCCAGTGTCGAGTCCTGACAGACCACTAGCTCCTCCCCCTGCAGCACCTGCCCTGCCCACACCCAGCCTGCTGGCACCACAGCTGCGGCCCCGTGGTCTGACCCTCAGCTGGCCAGGTTGGGCGGCACAGCCCACCGCAGGCTCAGGGAAGACACAGTGGGAGAGATCCAGGGGGGCCGCTGGGGGCCTCCAAGCCACTGCCGTCTGCGCTGGCTCCACTGCAGGGTCCTGCGGCTACCGCACCGAGTCCCCCAGCAGGCGGCTTACCAGGGAACAAACTTCTAGCAGCCCCCTGACCCCCAGGGGCTCCCTGTCCCTAGTGGCCCTACCCTTTGGAGAAAGGGCCACAGCATTTGGAACCCCTCTGACCTCTGCAGTCCTGCCCACGGCTCGTTGCCACCCCTCCCCCACCCAGGACATAAAGCAGGCTCGGCCTGTGTGCCAGACACTGCGCTTGAACTGAGACACACCACAAACACCCAACATCAGAGGGAGAAAGACACTTCAGGAAGGCAACCATTTGGTCAACAGATCCTGAATTTCAGCTTCCCCAGGGAGCAGGAGAGAGGATCCTTCTGTTTTCTGGGGGTGGTGTGCAGCTCGAAGGTTCAAGGAGGAAGTGACTAAGCTGAACCAGGCTTCTAAGGAACAGCCGGATCTGTGATGAGGCTAGCCACTCGGCAGGGAAGGGCTGACAGACCCCAGGGCTAAATCAGGGAAACAGAGGCAGGCACCCGGGGGAGGGGGGTGACTGCCTGCTGGGAACCTGGCTGGGGTGGAGCAGGGGGAGGAGCACCCTGAGGACAGGGCGGCAGCAGGGGTCTGGACAGGGCAGTGGAGGATGCTGGCTTGTCACTCCCAGATTGCCTCTGGTATGCATGCATGTTGTTTTGAGCTAAAGGCAACTTTAGCTTCAGGCTCAAGAGAAACTCTGCCCCTCTCGTCAAGTACCTGGGAAACTTGCATTAGGGGCCTTGCCTAATTTGACCTATAGATAGGTCAAAAGAGATAAGCTCTTTTTGACCTATCTTTAGGTCAGGATAAATCCCTATTTACTAAATGTTTGTTCTTCTCATTCTGCAGTGAACCCTGTGCCGGCCCCAAGGTGCCTCACTCAGCCCTAGCTCACCGGACTGGGTCAGGTATGCGAGGTTCCCACACACACGCATGCATCACACTTGGTTCTCTCTTGTTCATCTATCTCGTGTCTGTTTGAGGTTAGACCAGCCAGAAGACCGTGAGGACAGAGGGGAGTTTGTTCCCTGATGGGAGGGGGGGCAGACGGGGAGCAGGGAAGCCGGCAGGGCACAGACCCGCTTGGATGGAGCACACCAGCGAGAACGCGGCTCCGCCATGATCATAATGTATGCTTTCCTCACACGATCAGAATACAGTGACAGTTTAAAAAATTCATTTAACATAAGACAGTGCCAGTTAGAATTGACTAAGCCTAGCTGGGTTTGGGGTGAGTTTGGGGCAAGGGAGAAGGGCATGACCCTGAGAAGAGGCGGAGCCTGGGGAGCTGGGCCCTGAGAGGGCCTTGAGCAAGCTGAGGCAGAGGGTGGGAGGCTGGGAAAAGGCCTCTCTGCAGGGGCAGGAGCCTGGGAGCGGTGGGCGGGTGTGTGTGTGTGCGCGCGCTCAGCCCTCTCACTCCGCCTGCCTGCAGCTCAGGTGAAGTCTCTGCATTTTGGAGAGCGAGTGCTGTGCACTCAAAGCCAGGGGCCAAAAGGGGCCTCTGGACAGCCTGGGATGGGTCCCTGGAGCCCCAGACACCCTGCAAAACTAATCTTCCTGGGAGGGAGTGTGGAGGGGGCCCTAGGATCTGAGGAGTGCCCTGGAGGAAAATCTGTGAGGAGTTATTGAGAAAAAAGTGACCACTTGTCCACCAGTTTCACAACTTCATTCTTGTACAGATAGAGTGGGAGGGAGAGAGAGGAAGAGAGAGAGAGAGAAACATCGATGTGAAAGGGACACATCGAGTGGCTGCCACCCGCTCGACCAACCAGGGCCGGGGACAAACTGCAACCGAGGTACATGCCCTTAGCGGGAACCGAACCCGGGTCTCTCCGGACCGCAGGCTGACGCTCGAACCAACGACCTCTTGGTGCATGGGTCAACGCTCAACCCCAGCCACATCAGCTGGACTCCCCACACGTTCTTTACCACAAACTCCAGCTTGTGCGTTTCTCTGGGCCAATGTGCATGGGCAGGACTCAGACCGGGCCCTGTGACAGTTCACCTGTGGTCAGAATCCCGATGAACAGTCCGTGCTGGGGGCTTTTGGAAAAAAGGCTTCATTGTGTACATAGGACACGGCCAGACCATGTCCTCCCCTCAGTTCCCTGAGACTCAAGACCTGAGACCCATAGTCTCAGGGTTGAGAGGTAAGAGAGGGTCCGACCTGTCCAGACGGAGGGACAGACAGCTGCACCGGTGTGCGCACGGTCAGAAAAGCAGATGTCAGCGGACACTGGGCTCTGTGGCTCCACCCTCTGACAAGCCCCTGGCAGCTGGGGGACCAGAGGCTGGCCCGGGAGCTCCAGCTGGGGGAGAGCCAGCGTTCCCAGGAGGACACAAAGCCAACAGCCAGGTGTGAGAGCTGCGTTTCCTGCTCCAGTTGCACTGTGACCAGTTCCTGAACTTAGCAAGCCCATTCCTGTCCTAGCTGGCACCACAGACTTGGGGCTCTGGCTTCTCTTTCAAGACACAGGAAACGGAGGCTGGGCAGAGGCTCGGGGCTGGTAGACATCAGAGCCCCCTGCTTGCTCCCATTTCCTGCACAGCTGGAAGTGCATGGTGGCCCTGAGGCCCCTTCCAAGTCCCTAAAAGTGTGGGGGTGGGGTTAAAGAGTGGCTTCAGGGTTAAAAAGCGGTGCTAGGCACTCCTTGGTGGAGGGGGGATACACTGGTCCCATCTTCAGGACCTTGTCTGAAAAATGGACCCTCACTGTTCAGGCTGCTCAGCACCTCCCCCACTGGGTGTGAGTTGGAGACTGGAAGCCCCCATGGGAAATGGGCCCGGGAAACCTCAGTCAACAACCTGGGGAGAGGCAGAATCTGCGGGTGCGGAATGGGACGTGCCTGAACCCCATGCGGACAAGACGGAACCATCCCCTGCTGCTAGCAAGTAGCAAGGCCTGTGGTTTCGTTTTCGGGGTCTTTTCCCAGAGGCAGGGGGACCTTCTGAGCAGTTCCATGCAGGATGCCTCGTGGGGAGGAGACAGAAGACGGGCTGCTGGGCTTGTCACCCCCAAGGGGGAGTTCTGACCCCAGAGCCAGGGCCACGCCCCGCTTTGCAGCACTTTCATCACAAGGCGAAGGGGAAAGGGTGGCTGTTCCCAGGAACTTCTTTACAGAATTCCCCTCCAGTGATGCCAAAGGAGCGGGCTTGGCTGGGAGTAGCAGGCTAAAAGGGGGCAGACAGGAGGAGGGAGGGATCTCCCAGGAAGCCACTCCCTCTGCCCAGAACATGATGGTTTCTCCCACCTCAGGTCATGACCAGGAATCGACTTAAGTAACCAGGCCAGTCTTCAACCCCAGCGCCCCCCTGGAGGCAGAAGGCTGGGTGGGGATGGCAGAGCTTGCCGCTGGCAGGAGGACCCTGTGGGAGCAGCTCCAGCCAGCTCCAGGGCAGCTGCTGTGGGGCTGGGGTGGGAGAACCAGGCTGGCCCAGGGACACCTGGGTGGGGGCCAGGATGGACCCACCGGACACGCCCTCCCCGCCAGGCTGCTGGGCCCAGGGTCTCACACTGCACGTGTCCCTGGTTCCTACTCAGTCAGCTGGCCCTGGCTCGTGTCTGTTGGTTGAAAACTGTCCTAGGCACCCAAAGGTCTCTGGTTCGATTCTGGTCAGGGCACGTGCCTGGGGGCAGGAGGCAGACAATCGATGTCTCTCTCTCTCCCTCCCTCTTCCTTCTCTCTCTCAAATCAATGGAAAAAAAAAATTTTTAAAT